TTTTTGAGACCGGCTGCACTGCGCTCAGCCAGTGAGCACACCAGCCATCCCTATATAGGATACGAACCCACAGCAGGAGCACTGCTGCGCTCCCAGCGCCGCACTCTCCCAAGTGCGCCACGGGCTTGGCCCAGTCCATCACTTCTAACCAGACTCCACGCAAATAAATCTCCTCAGCAGAAACAGAGGAAGTTCTAATTTCTTTTCCCTGTAATTTTTAAGTCAACTTTGTATTCCCACAGGTTTCTAAGACTCTGGTTTCCTTTATTAACAAAGTTGTATCCAGCCACATAAATATCTGAAACTGTTCCTACACACTTACATTGTCTTTATTATCCATGTCAACACCAAGACTACGCATCTCACTCTCCAAAACTGTCCGCTGAACCTGTAAAGGAAAAAAGATACTTGTTTTAAGCAACATTAGTCTAATGACACGTTAAACATTTACTGAGCAACTGCTGTGTGCAAGGCAGGATAGGATGTACACGGCATGTCCTTGTATTCTTCCCAACCACCCAGGGAGCAGAGTGACTGTCTCCCTCATATAATGATACTAGAGCTGAGGTTAGCAACATGCCCTTAGACAGATGCAATGTCCCAACATCTCAACCCCCAGAGACCACTGAGCACTATGGGAGAAATACAAAACTGCCCAAATCTGCCAATAACCGGTCACCAGCCATCATATAAGAACAGTATCTTCAAACACATAAATACCCATTGAGAGACGTCTGTCATATCGAGTAATTTTCCTCCCCCTCCCATTACATTTTAACTGCCCTGCATGCTGTCTTGGTTCTTGAGGAACTGCCCCTCTCTTACCGCCCACTTCCTATTAGTCCAGGGGGGATATCACAAGGCCTGCATGGCTACAAGGGTGTGCACGTTACCTAGGCCTGACCTACTATCCTGACATGCAGCAGAGGGAATGATGCCCCAACAAAGACAGAGCTGAGGTAGGAAGAGTCTTGACGCCGTCTGATCCATTCCTGCCTAACATGCGACTCTCCCCACCCTAACCAGTTATAGGAACCAATAAACTGCCTTTTGTGTTTAAGTTTGACTGGGTTAGGTTTCTCTAAATTGCAAAAGTTAAGAGTTCTGACTAATACAAAAATTAAAGAATAAGAAAATGTCAATCGATGGCTTTAAACTTCTCTGGATCATAAATCAAATTTTAATTTGTTCAACTGCAAAATGACTGTATCTTTAACAGTGCTGAACCTGGAGCTAAAAGTCACCAAGAAAGTGCATGAGAACATTATCAAGACTCTAACAATCTTGCAAGTCGATTTACACCAATAAAACAAAGTCTGTGCAATCTTATGGCCACAAGGGGCTGAAAAGTTGTGTTTAGCAATGGCTGCACAAGAACCTAATACACAACACCTGGGCTATGCCTCTTTGGAAAGACACATAACTTGCCTTCTTAGCAGTTCGAGGCATCCTGGGTCCCTGTGTGTCCTTTTCTTTGGACTGCAGAATCTTCAACTTCCTTTTCTCTCTAATTTGTTTCGCCAGCTGTCGAATTTCCACCATCTCCTCGTCCTCGCTTTCAGACTCACTGTCATACTCTCCAGCAGCTGTTCTCAGCTCTTCTTCTTTTTCTAACTCTTCCAGTTTCTTTAAAAACAGTCATGATTTTTAAAAACAATCAGACTCCAAGGCTAAAAATGTGTTCCCTCATTCCAACACTCCCAGCAGATATATGAAATAAGCTAAATTCTGATAAATATCCCTTTTATGCATTCTTAATACCACCCCAAACCCAACCTCACTGGCTACAAAGTTGAGAAGATAAAGACGAAACTTTAAAGACATGCACATGTCTACCACACCGGGCAGCTGTGCACACCACAACTTGGGTGAGAAGCATAGAGGGAGTGTGGTCAGGCAGGGCCCCACATGGTGCTCAGGAAGCTGGACAGGACACGCAGCAGAAGGGTGCACGGGCACAGCTGGAGAGTCTAAAGAGGGAGCCACGTGGCTTCTCATGTCTGCAAGTGTGGACCACAGGATGCAAAGGCAAAGAGACTGGAAAAGCAGGGAGATCAACTATGGCAAAGGCACAGTTTCCTCCTGGGCTCCTCAGTCCCCATCCTCTCCCTGCGTGATGCCACTCCCTCTGGGATGAACGGGGGCCGCTCCTGAGAAGGCAGTATTGGAAATCACGTGAAACACCTTGCTGAATAGGAAGGAAACTTAAAATGATTCTGTCTGCAAGGTTTTATATTTATAAAACCGCACCCACGCCAATTAAAAATGAACAGATTATTGTGGAAAAGAGGAGTGGGTTTTAAGACCAGTTTGGGCCAGGGGGCCAGGAAGATGCCACAAGCCAATCCTAAAGTTTATTTAGAAGGGAGGGGGGAAAAGGAGGAATTGGTAAAAATCAATTACATTGAATAATGATACACTTTCTTTTAAAAAGTTTATTTAGAAGAAACAAATATCAAGATTATCAAGAAAAATTATGGAAGAAGAAAGTGATACAGGAGAAATAACAGCAGAGAAATTCGGACATAAACCCAAGCATGTATGAGAATGCAGTGGAAAGACAAAATACACAACCAGCAGTTCTGAGATAAATGAGCACAGAGCTGGATAACTTGAACACAGAGCTGGATATCTACCACACCTCCCTCACAACAAAATGACACAAAGGACTTCCATTCAAAAGAGGTAAATTTTTTAAAAAAACAACATAGGGTCGGCCTGTGGCTCACTCGGGAGAGTGTGGTACTGATAACACCAAGGCCATGGGTTTAGATCCCATATAGGGATGGCCAGTTAGCTCACTTGGGAGAGCGTGGTGCTGACAACACTAAGTCAAGGGTTAAGATCTCCTTACCGGTCATCTTTTAAAAAAACAAACAAACAAAAAAACCATAAAAGTGTAGAAGAAAAAGATACTTTTAAAACTATTTCTGGAATAGATGGTATGCCTTTCTATGCATGACCCCAAACCTAGCAGCCATAAAGAAAATGTTAATATATATTAGTAGTTTTAAAATGTATAATTTGAGGTTTAAAGAAAGGTATCAAAAACTAAAAGGCAAGTGACAAAAACAGAAAGAAGTATTTATAGAACACACGACCAGTATCTGATTTCCTTAATATAAAAACTATAAATCAATGAGACAAATGTAAACAGCCCGATGAACTGAAAAGGCCCAAAAGAATAAAAAATGTTCAACATGAAAAATGTTCAACAAGCATAAAAAGTGCTCAACTGCACTAGTTGAAATTGAGAGACATGTAACAACAATAAAACTACCTTTAAACTACTAGACTGACAGAAGTCAGCATCTGACACTGTTGAGGATACGGGAAACACAACTCTCACACTACCAGAGGAATGTAAACTAGAAAGGCACTTCCGGAGGATGCCAACATTTCAGTGCCACACCTTGAAATTCACAAATATATTTACAATAAAACATTGAGACTAATGCATACAGATGTGCACTCCAGCGCTATTTGCACTAGAAAGATGAAAACTTCAAAAAATAAAATACACTTCCATCTGTTTAAAAAAAAATTTTTAAATACCCTTCTCTATAAAAAAAACACTTCTGGAAGGACAAGAGAGGCTGTCAGAAGGAGCTACTTGTGGTGGGGACAGAAGCAGGTGTGCATGCTGCTGCACTCTCTTCTCCACCTTTTCACTCTTTACCATGTGTAGTCACGTGATGCTTGAGGGCAGAGCCACGTGTTGAGAATCACATCACTACATGACTTCGTCATCATGCCGGCATCATCGCATGCACGTGCACAAACCAACCGCACACCCAGGCAGTATAGTGCGGCCTAGGCTCCTGGGCTACAGACCTATACCGTATGTGCTGAGCAAGTGTCTGGGCATCTGACACAGAACAGGTGCAGGAGAAACACGGTATGAAAGGTAAGAACGGAGGGCACTTCGCATGAATGGAGCTCACAGGACCAGTTGCTCTGGGTGAGTCAGTGAGTGTGTGGAGTGTGTGTATCCAGGCCCAGGACACTGCTGTACACTACTACAGACTTTGTAATCATAGCACACTTAGGCCACACTAAATTTATTATAAAATAAAGTAAATGTGCTACAATGTTTCAACACTACAATGTCAAGAGGTGACAGGAATTTTTCAGCTTCTTTGTAATCTCACGGGACCACATGGTGTATGTGGTCTGTTGCTGACCAAAATGTCACAGAGCAGCACGGGACTGTATATGCAGAGCTTTACCATGAATGAGAAGCACAGACCACTTCTGAGATGCGTCTGCGTTTGTGTGCACCAGGCTCTCACCTTGTCATCTCTCCTGTTGGGCACCGCAAGGTGCAGGCGGTTCAGCACCTCATTCACTTTGTTTCCCTTCATCTTGGTTTCCACTCGATAAGCCAACAGCCTGTCGCAGGCCTGGGAAAGTACAAAAACAAGGCACAAAGTCAGAGATTCCCTCCAAGAGCCTCTTCCAGCCACACACCTAGGAAGCATCCAACACCACAGCCCCCATGCACTCTCCTGTGGGCACCAACACGGCTGCAGACCACACTCCCACAGGAGGAAGAGGCTTTGGCCTGCCTTCGTGGCAAGGGCCAGCCCTCAGGAGAGCTCGCCTGCAGTGCCCCGGGTCCCACTCAGCGACCTTAGCTGCCCCCCTCAACTGGATGCCAGGCCCTCCCTCAGGGCTCTGTCACAACAACTAACCCCAGATGAAACTAAAGCATTAGCATCGCCCTGCTACTCCAGTGAAAATAAAGCAGTGAAGTAGAAAACACTTAGGACAGCCTGTGAAGCCTAACAGAAAATGCCCCGCCCCCCAGCAGCTCCTACTTTTCAGACCATTTTTTCCTTCTACTTCTGAACAGTCCCATAAATGTAGTTTCACTACAGCTGCTATGGAAATATTAGAAAGGCAAAAGCCACAGTGGCCACTTTAAGTGCAAACTATAAAGCATCTTGTTCACTTGTGTGGGGGGAGGACACAAGTGTCACCACAGTGACTAGATCTGCCTTTCTCCCTAGCCCACCATTCCTGTTGAGCAGCTGCTCCAAGTGCTAACATCTGGAAAGAAAACTTATCTTTCTCCCCATGACTGACTTTTCTGAAACAAGAGAAAGACAGTAAAAGGATTGACACCTGATTCAAGGAAGCACTGACCTCTGCTTTAACTTTAGTAACACCTTCCTCAGTCAGGGTGCTGGTCTCTATTACAGGGAATCCTTCAGCCTGCAGATCTGTAAACACTTTCTGGGGACATAAAGGAAAAGGAGATGTATTACTGATCTCCAGTTCCCGGAGGAACAAGCCATGATGTTCTGCAAATGGAGGTTGTGAATGCTTACTGTCAACATTGGTGGTTTCTCCCCCCCCCACTTTTTTTTTGTCTTTTCTCGCAACCGGTAATGGGATCGCAACCCTCGGTGTCGCGCCCGCACCGCGCTCAACCAGTGAGCAGACCGGTCTCTATATGGGATCCAAGCCCTCGGCGGGAGCGCCGCCGCACTCCCAAGCACCGCACTCTACCCAGTGTGCCACCGGGCCGGCCCAACATTGGTGGTTTCTCCCCCCCCCACTTTTTTTTTGTCTTTTCTCGCAACCGGTAATGGGATCGCAACCCTCGGTGTCGCGCCCGCACCGCGCTCAACCAGTGAGCAGACCGGTCTCTATATGGGATCCAAGCCCTCGGCGGGAGCGCCGCCGCACTCCCAAGCACCGCACTCTACCCAGTGTGCCACCGGGCCAGCCCAACATTGGTGG